CTGGTCCATGGGAATGCGAAGTAGTTTCTCATACAGGATCAAGGCCTTCTCTTTGATAATGGAGCCTATTGTGGTGTTTCCTGTAACTTGGAGCATTGCACAACATATTGTGGTGCTTCCTGTAACTAGGAGCATTACATCGGGGTGTTGATTTTACCCCTCCAGTAATTAGTCGTAATTCTTGGTAGTGTGCCTTCTCGAGGGGTTTGAGAGTCACCTCTTGGTTTTGTGGCCGTCTATTCCTCTAGTAATTAGTCGTAATGCTTGGTTGTGTGCCTTCTCGTATTGATATGAGAGTCACCTCTGTGGCTGTAATGAGTGGCTCACAGTTGAATGTCACCTCTGTGGCTGTAATGAGTGGGTTACAGAAATACAACATTATTGGCTGAATAAACATCTTGTCACCTCTGTTATAAGAAGTATAGAATTGTTAATGTAGGTACATGACCGTGTATGATAACGAGTATTTATTTATATCAAATGGCGGGCATTTTGATAGTTATCACTAGACCTTTAGTCAGTAGTCAACTGCCGGTTAATTGACTTTTTTGCCGTATGAGTATACGTTGCCCTGGATGCACCACGTGGAGGTAAGTCTGTCGCACCCCATGTACAAGTAAGAAATCGGACATTTTACAAATAACGTCAAAATGTTATTTGTTTTAAATTATGCAAATGATGCCCCCCCCCTTGGTTTGCTACCTTCCCATTGCGTTCGTCGTTTACGATCCTCCTGTCGTTAACAAAACTTGCTGTTTATGAAGCAAAATACTCGTTCAATTTGGTTCCGCCTCCAGTTGTGTTACTAGTTTTGGAATAAGCCCCACGATTCTGGAGGAGGCTGTGGTCTGATGAATTTGATTGATGTGGTAGAACCTCCCAATCTACTTCCTCAATTTTCAGTAACTTTTCGTTTGGTTTCAGAAACTCGTTATTGATTATTCCACATTTATTCCACCTAGAGTACAAGAGAAGCCTTTGGAGGGTGAATCGTGGTTTATGGGGTGAAGTGGGTGGTTGATGTGGAGACAACTGCGGTTTTTCCTCCTAAGGTTGTGGTAAACGATCCCCCTCTCAATCCCAGTAACCACCTGCAGGGTAAACTACGAATTCCTTGTTGCCTTGTGAACAAAATAATGCATATGTTTCACCGTTCATTTTGCTTAACTGGGAGAGTTGGTGATGTGGCATCCAACCCAAATTCTCATCCTCTCCAATTCACCATGCATTTCAAGAGTAATTGGACATTCTACGATGGTCACTTGAGTTTCTGTTAAAATTCGTCAATAGTTTAGAGAGGATTTACTTCATCCAGATTTATCAATACATCATCAAAGTCTCAGGTGGTTCTGGTATTGGTGAATTACTTAAACTCCTATTGGTCAACTTAAATCTTGTAAGCCAAAGTGGACATATTGGTACTGTAAGCACTGGATTATGCATTTCAGTATTGATTTTGGTACCTCTTCACACATCCAATCCCAGATCTGACTTCTACTCCGTATGCTTGAAAGTGAACATTAAAATCAATAGAAATTTAACGACTATCGTCATTTCCACCATTTTGGTCCAACTTTGATAGTCGCTTAAACTTCCTCTTCAAGGTTTACCTTCATCTCCTTTTCTCCCTTTACACAAACTATCAACTGAGCTTATTATATAACAGAGCTGAAATGGACTACTTATTTTATTTTCTACAACACTTCACTTTACTAAACAAATCTGTTAAGAATCTTCGTCGCCTTGTTAGTGTTTCACAAATGCACAACCTACGGTAAAAGCACTGAGAAATGATACCATTTCGATACGAATAGTAAATTTAATGTTGGCGAAAGCTTGATGACACGCAATGGTTTATTTCGTGGTGTTTGTGGGTGTATCTGTGGCATAAAATTCCATGGATTACATCTTGAAGTAAACCGATTATTTGGCACAAATTATGCTGATGTACAGCCCACGAATAATGTTTACTCATGGAGAGATGCATCATTCTTTCGAACGTTTAATTCCGAAAGCGAAATTAAAGGTAAATGGAAAGTGTGCAATTGGAATGCTTGCGCTTTACAAACAAAACGTTGTTTCTCTGAGTTACTGCCGGTTAACATTTTTGTGTTTTGATGTCCATTGCATTATTATATCCTCAGAAGAGGCCTTTCATTGAATTAAAATATATTTTTATGGAGATTACTAGAGCAGATTTGTCACTTTTCCAAGTAAGTACTCATCTACGTAAGTGGAAGTGCAATCCAAAGTTGTTGAAGGAATTTTCGGTGACATGGTGGAATCAGTGAGATAGGGGGTAAGAGAAGAGAATTGACATTGAATAACATTTCCGCGTGATTTACTCCATTTATTCTTTTATATGGGCTATTTAGTGCATATATAGGCAGTATTATGCTTGAGTATGGTATATTCTGTATGAAGGCTCTATTAGTAATCAGGACACAACGCAAACAAGGAACAAATTTCAAACCTTTGATAGTGTCTGAAAATGTAAAATAGAAAATTAAGTTAATAAAAGATGGAATATGGATCGAGGTGGTGCATGTGAGAAGACTAAAGCTGAATTTCAAGAGCCTTATTTCGTAGAATTCTGAAAGTATTTCAATAGTCCCCTTTTCACAAGAGATAGAAATCGTAGTGGAATGCATAGGGTTTCAAGCATTTCATATTCATTGGTTGACTCATAGTTACTTGGTGGTCACATTCTTGGGATATTTAGACCGGGTTGACCGCATAGTTTATTGACTACTTTGTCACTTTACGTGAATTCAATTCTTTACTTTGACAAAGGAACAAAGTCAAATAGACATACCTCACTCGGGTTTTGGTAAATATCTATTCATTCATTTACTTCAAATGGCGGGCGTTTTGATGGTTTTCGTTAGCCCTTTCGTTGACTTCGAGCTTCACATAGGAGAGGAACATCAAAGTGAGAAGAGGTCGAGAGGTGGGGAGAACAGAGGAGTGATTAACAGATGTAAAAGAGACAGACACAAAGGTAGAGAAAAAGGTAAGGTAAGGTGAGTATTGTAGAAGTGGTGGAAAATGACATATATTAGGGTCATGTTAGCTTGAAGTTAGAAGTCAACTGCCGGTTCATAGACTTTTATGCCGTTTAAGTATGCGTTGCCTAGGGTACACCACCCAGAGTGTTCACCCCGAGAATGATCTCGCGAGGCACGTGCCACATGGCCTGGCCGGGATTTGAACGCAGGACCACTCGCACCCTAGACCACCAGGCCAGTTCACTCAACGTCAATAGTGCGCCCACAGGGATTCACCACCACTGACATTAACAATAATGCGGCCGTAGCTGCAAGTGCCTGGCACTGACCACCAGCACTCGTCTCGCCATAGCTGTAAGCTCAGGACTCGTGTGGCTTCCAGTCGCAGCCGCAGCTGCCGATGCCTCATCATTATTCGCCTATGCACATATTCTTCCAGGACTGCGAGCATAGTATTCGCAAATAGAATGCACACTTTATGCTTCTACACGGTAGATTTACCTCCACGTGGTGTACCCTGGGCAACGTATACTCATACGGCAAAGAAGTCTATAAAACAGGAGTTGACTTCTCACTTCACAAAAAAGTCTATTAACCGGCAGTTGACTTCTGACTACTCAAACGGCAAAAAAGTCTATAAACCGGCAGTTGACTTCTGACTGAAAAGGTCTATTAACTGGCAGTTGACTTCTGACTTCAAATAAAAGTCTATCAATCGGCAGTTGACTTCTCACTTCAAACTAAAGTCTATTACCTGGCAGTTGACTTCAAACTACCATGAGTAAGTCTATTAACTGGCAGTTGACTTCTGAGTTCAAACTATCATGACCCCAAGTCTATAAAACAGGAGTTGACTTCTGACCCCAAATTATCATCACCCCACTTTATGTCAAATTCGACTGCTTTACAGTACTCACTTCACCTTTTTCTACCTTCGTGTCTGTCTGTCTCTTTTACATCTGTGAATCACTCCTCTGTCTCCCCCCTCCTCACTCGACTTTTTGCGACTTTGATGCTTCTCCTCTCCGTGAAGCCCTAAGTCAACTAAAGGGCTATTGATAACTATCACAAAGCCCAACATTTTAATATAAATAAATGTTTATAAACAAGCATGTAGTTTTCATTTTTAACTTCAGCATCTACTTGTAAACAATCGTGTGCATACATTATTTTAACGTCAAATTTTAAGAATTTATGCATTACCACGTATACAATCACAAAATGTTAAAGTGGGTGCATTGAAATAGAGAGGCACGTGATAATATGCGGCCATGGTTACCACTGTTGCACATAGTTTCCTTTTCGTATTATCCGCCAATCATAAATCAATTGACAAGCTTTTTAAGTCCTGTCCTGTGCTACGGCGCGTCATATCTTCATACAACCAGCTAGAGACTTATAGGATGCCATCTTCAATCAGTGATAATGAGGAAGGTCAAGAGGTGAAAGGCCCAAATGAGGCTGATGAAATGAATGAAATGTCACAAGTGAATGGTGAAGTCGTAACCACACAGCCGCGGGCTACCTCTGAACTTCGAGATTGGAACTCTGATCTATTCCATTGTCATAAGGATATTGGAAACTGTATGTCGTAACACGTACTGTCCCATCTTTTAAAACTTTGAAGCAACTAATTATGTTAATTTTTTAAAAAAAGGTTTTCTTGTCGCCTGCTGTCCAATGTGTGCAGCCGGGTATGAGTTATACAAGCATGACGAAAACCCTATTCTTGGTTGTTGTTTTAATGGAGTCCTCATGGCCTTTATCGCGCAATATCGGGCAAGAAACCAAATTAAAGTAAGTTTGCGATTGTACCAAATTACTACTCAAAATCTTAAAGAATGCAATGAGTAAAATAAATTATTCTCTTTAGGGCAGCCTTTGTTCGGATTGTCTGACTTCGATGTTCTGTGGACCTTGCGCATTGTGCCGTCTACATCGTGACTATCAAGAATTAGGAAATTAATGCCCATTACAAAGGAGAACTGATTTAATAAAACCCATTAACAACCATTCCTTGAACAGATGTACCAGTATTTTAATTAAATTAATTTAATCAGTAATCGGATGGTGGATTTGGTATTTTGGAAACTAAATGAGAGGAAGTATTTACATATTTCATTTGTCATTGAGGAAGACGCGTTGTTTATTTACTTCATGTATTTCATTCGTTCTTGGTGTTTAGTTAAAAAAATCATCTACATATGCCGAAGGAGGGAGAAGTTTGGAAATAAAATTCATTTTAATCTCTCTTACAAGATATCAAAATATGTGACCTCGAAATAATAATTCATTTATGCATTAAACAAACGTAAATCAATACAAGTCATTCATGGTGTTTTTCTTCTGTGATTTATAAGTTGTCAAATAACTAGCATGAAATATACAATCTTGTAAATAAAACATTTACTTATTTATATCAAATGGCAGGCGTTTTGATAGTAATCGTTAGCCCTTTAGTTGACTTCAGGCTTCACAGAGGGGAAGGAATATCAATGTGAAAAAAGTCGAGGGGGGGGGGGATAGAAGAGTGTTTCAAAGATGTAAAAGAGGCAGACACAAAGGTAGAAAAAAGGTGAGGCAAGTACTGTGGAAGCAGTCGAAAATGACATGCAGTGAGGTGGTGGTAGTTTGAAGTGAGAAGTTAACTACCCGTTGATAGAATTTTTTGCCATATGAGTATACGTTCCCCAGGGACCACCATGTGGAGGTAAGTCTATCGCACACCCCGAAAATAAAACTTAATTGTGAGGTTCGAACAGGGCCAACAGCTTTTCCTTTACTGGTTTTAAAATAAATTGCAATAAAAAATTTTGCTAGCCAACCAATACAGACATAATGCTCTTCTCCTTTGAAACAGTTCTCAATTTATTTCTAACTCAGCCTTGAAATACTGAAAATTATTTTCAAATACTATTGTATGCTCTCTTACATTGCACTCAAATAATCAGTTTCAAATTTCATAGTTAATTGAATTTCTGCCCAAATATCCACAAAAATAGCAGAAGAGAGAGAGGAGGGAGAAAGCGATTTTAGAAGTTCATATAACGAAAACAAGTTACATCTACCGAGCCATGTGCTCTTCAAAATTTGCTCACCACCTCAGATAAACAATTTAGCAACGATGCCTAAATTATCAAATCACGAGGATAGAAAAGACAGAGTAAAATGTTGATATCAATTTAATTTCACGTTATTTCCTCCACATCACCTGTTATAATCTGTTTCATGCTAGTGTGACATCAGCCTCGAAATCACTTGAAGTGGTCAGGGCCTTCAACGAGTCATTTTTTGCCAGAGTGCCTTCTATTCTGTGGTTAATTTCACATGCATTAACCTACTTAATTGATGGAATTTTGGAATTGTCCAGGTGAAGAAGAAGAGGAAGAGTGTGATACCGTGGCATATTTGCATATAAACGCGCGTATCTGTTTACATGTTAGCTTGCGATGACATAGCACAAGAGACCAAACCTCAGTTCATTCAGGAGTACCGCTGAATTAGTCGGAGGGAAGAACCCACTATTGGCGCATGGGGAAGATTCGCTTCATGGCGATGTGGTGTGTTGGTGGGGTAGCGAGACCACCCCTCCACTCGAAGTTAACCACTGACCATGTCTATCATGGCATCGTACAAGCGCCATCGTAAGCGGTTAATGAGGTTAATGAAATCATATGATTACGTTCTTATTAGCCAGAGTTGTAAAACTTCGTTCAATAAATGGCACATACATTCCAGGTACCATACAATTGGATGTCTGTTTGGTGTTGAGCCTCAGTGACTTTGTTGCCTAATAGTTGCAGTCCATGATACCGGATTGAAATAGTTGGATGTGCTGTGGTAGACGAGCTACCCGACCCGTCTTGAAACACTTACCAAGCAGTTTAACTTGTTTGCGAACGTGTGTATGTGGGTGTGAGGTCCTATGAAACCAGCTGAAAGTGAAGTTCCTTCTATATTTCTACACATGTACGCCGCAGTTTGGCTAGTAGGGATTTCATTACACTCCTGATATATGCCTTACACCTTACCCGGCTTTATTGGGTATATGATAAGGACGACGGTGCTCTTAATAAAACAAAGCATTCAAAACCTGCAGGTTGAGACTCGAATTACAATTAACTATATTTGCGTAGGTTGAAGCCAGATGAAACTTTGGTGCAGAACGGAGGCATTTCTGAAGTACGTGCCAAGGATAGCTGGCACTCAATGGTATAATCAGTTTTATCGAGTAAAGTGATCGATTAGTGGTTCTGGGTTCGAAATAGACTCAGCCTATTCCTAAACTTTAAATGGGTGAGATACTTGTGCGGATGAGTATTCACACCTTGGAATCGCGTGTTAAGTGTGCAAATGATAATTGGGCTATTTTTGGTATGCATGACTGACCAATGCGTTCATTTAAAATCCGCATGGTATGTAATAATAACGGACCCAGTAAGCGCATTCTCGAATATCAAATCAGGTCATTAAGTAATCATTGTAACCGTCTAAAGTATACAGATTGACTTTCTGGAATTATAATGTGGAAATTCATTTTGAGATTTCCCATTACTATTAAGTATTTCAATTAAAGCTTCATGCATTAATAAATTAATTTAATTTTAAGCCAAGTGTACTCACTATGTAGCATCAAAACCGTCTGCTTCAACTGGTGACAATTTTTCATTGGCATTATTAAAAGCCTTGAAGTCACGATGTAGTAGACAGTTGACGTTGGTAACAGAGGAATGAGTGTAGACAGTTTTATCAAAGAGAATCCTGTTTAATAATAATGGAACCACTTTACAAATTCAAAGCCTGAGCTTTCGAAGATAGTCTAAAGTCTGCAGATCTACGTTTTATTGATTTTTTTGTTCAATATTTCATTGTTAAGGGGAGGATATTCATGCCTTTTCCGTATATTTTCTGCTCATGACAGACCACACAGTCGGTGAAGAATCCTACTAATTATTCTAAAATTAAGATGGCTCTTTTAATTTTAGGTTGACTTTATTTGGATTGAATAAAGTGCTTATTTCCAACAGTGTGATAATTAATAAAGCTCTACTAGAATTAATGTCCTCTTTGTAATACTGTCAACTAGAGCTTGGATTGTTGATAAATTTTTGTCGAATTTTGGTGCAAGCAGTCAATGGTGAACAGTTAAGAAAAGTCATTATTTTTATTCTAAAATTAAATATTGGCATATTTGTTTAAAAGTCGACTTTTATGGTTATTGTTGGGGTTCAGGTTGTCATGACTACTCAAAATTTATTGTTCAATCTCACTTTTATTTCAAGATCTTTTGTCATAAAGTCGCTATAGCAGCCTGGCTATTATTATTTTGTTACCGTCTAAAGTATTTTGAAGTAGTTCCAGTCATGCGGGAAAAAGAACTTTTAAAAGAGTACTTAAAATAAGGAATTCAAACGGAATTATTGCCTTATTGAGTATTTATGGAAAATCGACGAGAAAAAAGATCAGTTTAAGTGAAATATCCTTACAGAGCTTCAAAAGACGATTTAGATAGTATGAAGTAAATAAATATTTATTTTAAATGGCAGGCTTTATGATAGTTAGTATTAGCCCTTTAGCTGATTTCGGTCTTCACAGAGGGGAGGAGCATTAAGGTGAGAAAAATTTGAGGGGGGGGGAATAGAAGAATGATTCACAAATTTAAAAGAGACAGACAGACACAGATGCTCAAAAAGAGTAAGATAAGTACTGTGAAGGGGTCGAATATGACTTGCAGTAGGCCATAATAATTTGAAGTCAGAAGTCAACTGCCGATTAATAGACTTTTTGCCGTATGAGTATACGTTGCCCAGGGTGCACCACGTGGAGCTAAGTCTATCGCACACCCCAAGTAAATAAATGTTTTTTTTTAAATAATGGTAATAGAAAGGAAAACTGTCAATTTTATCGCATTCAATCTTGGGTGCTTTTTAAATATTATGCTGTTGATGTAGTTGAGAGTTTATCTTACTTCAACTTATTGTTTACCAATACCATTTGCCTTAAAGGGGAAGTTTTTCTCTTCAAATTTGAAAATGATTATTGACAATCATATAATTGAAATTGTTCCTTCATTTGGAGTGAGTGAAGTGGACTTTATTGATGTGCAAAATACATGCGTTAAAAGATCCTCTTTCCATTACGGAGGCACGCACGCTATTGGCTCCAAGTTATTATCCACTCCGCTCATTTGATTGCACTGCGAGACTTCAAATCCGTGATTCCAGTTTCATAGATTTGCAAGTATCATAACAACCAATCAGTCTAATTATTTGTGCTCAAAACTCTACTTTAGAGCCTTAGATGATCTATTAAATAAAAAATTTTAAACAGAAGATAGAATGTGTTGCTGATCAATCGAAACCCTCCAGAAATCTAAGATTCCACATGACCATTTTAATTTTAAATTAATAGTCATAGTTATTTTCTGTCACTTAGAGTGACGCAACTCCTTTGAACGTTTAAACAAACCATTAATTCGGTTCCTGTTCTTCCTATTTCTACAAAGAAGCCATCAAGGAGAGGAGCTAGAGGTTCAATATGCAGTAACTTAGTTTCATCACAACTTTCTGTCTGTCTCTTTTACATCTTTGAATCACTCTTCTGTTCCCACTCTCGAATTTTTCCCACTTTGATGTTCCTCCTCTCTGTGATTCCCGGAGTCAGCTAATGAGCTAATGATAACCATCATAAAGCCTGCCATTTGAAGTAATAATAATAATAATAATATCTCCAACTTACATTTCGTTTACGTAATTCGCCAATCTTGGAAGGTTTATGGCTGTCACATCAGGCTTACTTCTGATTCAAATCATCAACTCTTTACAGTCCTTCATCAGAGTGAGGAAACAGTTCAATCTATGCTCCCAAAAGAAATACTGAAAAAGCAAGAGAGCTCAAAGTTGGCTCAATTCACCAACGTCAATATTCAATTTGGATTATTGGTTGCAGGGTGTTATTCTTCTTCTT